CTGAAGCTTTTTCATAATAAAACATTAAACAAAGTTGTAACAGAGAAGTTTGGGCATATGGTATCTAAAATTGTTGGAACTTTAGCCTCAAGAAACCTCTTGTGTTCTTAAGAATGTTTTCCTGCCTTAGAAATGTAAAAAAAAAGCCTATAAAGGAGTTGATTTCCCCTTTACTGTGGAAGGGAGATAAAGGCCATGTTCACGCCATTGAAAAACCTTGTAAAACAGTAACAGAAGTCTTGTACAAACAGTGCATATTAGAAATTCTTCAACCTTTCCCATACATATATGGACACAAGCAAGCTTGTAGCAGAGTTCATATGCTTTTTTCCCTAAATGTAAGGCCTAAGGCCAAGTTAAGGGCCATGTTTGTTATTCTTTGGCTTTAACAAGTGCTAGTCAAGGATAAAAATTACATAATAAAATAAAAATAAGATAATTCAAGACCAGGAACAAATAAAAGGACATTAGATGCAATACACAGAAAAACTATACAAAAGAGATGACAAAATGAAGGACACATGGAGCAAAGAGCCATATGAAGGTGAACCCCAAATTCTAAAAACTGAGGTGGTAGCTGCAATAAAAGAAATGGCAAAAAACAAGACTCCAGGAACAGATGATATACCAATAGAACTGTTGCAATCCACACTGTCAGAGTCAACTCTAGTGCTAACCAACATATGTCAACATATATGGAAAACAAAACAATGGCCACCAGATTGGAAGCAATCAATATACATCCCCATCCACAAAAAAGGAGACACAAAAGACTGCAGCAACTATAGAACCACAGCACTAATCTCCCATGCAAGCAAAATTATGCTCAAAATACTGAAAGGAAGAGGCACTAGGGACCACATTGCAAACATATGATAGCTAATGGAGTGCACCAAGGAATTCCAAAAGAAAATCAGCATGTACTTTATAGACTATAGCAAAGCTGTGTAGACTGCATAGATCATGAAAGGCTATGGAATGCTCTTAGGTTCTTTTTTAAAAAAAGTTGTCCCTTTTACTGTTCTACGTTCATGAAGAAATTTTGCCTAGTTGTATATCTACTATGGCATTACATTTCCCCTCATTAACTGCTTTTTCTACCCCTGAGACAAGTAATAATTACATACTGTTCCTCCTGAAAGGAGCTCATTTTTTTACTGGCTCTAGGGATATAATTTTAACCTGAAGTCATTTTAACCTATTCAAAAGCAATCTTAACAAAAAGAAATTAGTCCTGCTTATTACCCTTTTTCAGTTTAGTATCCTTCATGGTGGCTATCAAAATAACCTAAAGGCACTGATCTTGGAAGCTAAGCAGGGTCAGCTCTGGTTAGTACCTGGATGGGAAGCCACCAACAAATCCCAGGGGCTGCAGCCTATATTTCAGAGGAAGGAACTGGCAAAACTATGAGTATTCCTTCTAAGAAAAATTTGTGAAATTTATGGAGTTGTCATAAGTTGGCAGGCAATCTGAAGTAAGTGCCATGGAGAAGTAAGTGCCAAAACAATATTCATGCCACAGACTTAGATGAACCATGAGCCAAAAAAGTGTTACTCAACAACACTTGAACACTATGAAGCCAATGTGGCATAGTGGTTTGAATGATGGATTATGACTCTGGAGAATACGGTCGGTTCAAATCCCTAATTGGCCACAAAACCCATTGGGTGATCCTGGACAAGTCACAATCTCTCAGCCTCAGAGGAAGACAATGGGAAACTCCTTCTGAAGAAACATGCCAAGAAATACACTGTGAAAGGGTCACCATAAGTTGGAAACAACTTGGAAGGCACACAATAGCAACAAAACAACACACAACTGCCAGGTGTTTTATCTCATGGGGGTGAGTTTCCTGTAGAAAAACATGAAGGGTCACCTTGAAGAAAAACATGATGTGGGACGGGAGTATTTGGTGATATTTGAATTTTTTTCTGTACCAGAGTGACTTCCTTCCATAAATGGATTATTTAAAAAAAAACAGCATGCAGTATGTTTCTCTTGCCGCTCAATGATCACAACCCATCTCTGTCCATTTAGGAATATGGAGCAGAGAGTTTGTAGAGCAAGCTTGAAACCTGACATCTGATTTCATGAAGAAATGCTTTATTCCACTCGTGTTGTCACTAGGGGTGTGTGGGCCGCTGAGGTAACACCCCAAGGAAGGTGACACCATTGCACCCCAAACATCTGCCTTTTCGCACAAATGGGCTTTGGCATTTGCCTGCATCCCTTCAAAACACTGAAGAGATGGTGTGAGTCTCAGTGAGGCTCAGTGGGAGGAGAAAGGAGAGGCCCCATTTTTTTAAAATTTAAATTTAAATTAATTTTTTAAAAAATATTATTTTAAATTTATCTTTAAAAACTTCACATCTTACCAAACTTTCACTTTAACCACATGAAACTATGTACACATATATACATTTTTAGGCTGTGTTCATGATATAAAGATACAATTTTAATTTTGCTAGTTGTTTATGTCACAACTACTGCCACTACATTCAGTGATATACAAGAAATACAATTAATGAGTAATATTAGTACAAGACATATTCAGCTGTAGCCGTGCTGGCCATGTATTTTATGCATTTTGGTTGGCCGATTCAAGGCATCACTGTTTTGTGGATTTTGGATGTTACTGGTACAGAAAAAAATTACTAGGGATTCTGTATGCTGTGGTTTGGGAAGAAGTCAATGGAGGGATGGTGACTCCATGCCTAATCTCACCAACCCTAGTGACTCCGCTTCTGCCAACTTTCTCTTCACTTCTAGAGCACTGGTTGCTGTCATGCTGCCATGTATGCCTTCATCTTTCTACACCACTGCCATTCCTCACACCACACATCACCCTGGGTTTTGTCTTTACACCACAGCCACTCCCAGGGTAACCAGATGTCCTCCTTTTTCAAGGCATGTCCTACATTTCTGCCTTCTGCCTAGGAGGAATTCCAAAAGGTCTTCCATTTTGAGCATGACTAAGAAGCATGGAAACATCCAGGGGTAGCCGTCTTGGCCAGATAGCAAATCCAATAACATCAAATAAACAACACTAAACAGTGATGGCTTTATTGGGCCAACCAAAATGCACAGGCAGGCTCCTCCTCTTTCTGACCATATGGCTACAGGGAGATTGGCAAAGTCCAGGAAATTTAAAATCCATTTGCATCTCAACAGAGACCTGCAAAATATATCCTTCCCACCATGTATGATCTTCACTAAAGACTGAAACAACATGTAGGCATCTAACATCTCCAATTGTTTTTCTCCTGTTTGGTTTGTAACATCTTGTCTGATGAAGAAGCCCATGGAGCTTCGAAAGCTTGCAACAAATATATTGTGCATTTTGGTTGGCCAATAAAGGTATCACTGGTGGATTTTTGTTTGAATTTGCTAATGGCCAGCACAGCTCCCCCTGAATGCTTTCTGTATTGTGCATTTTGGTTGTCCCAATAAAGGTATCACTGTTTGGTGGGTTTTTGATGTTATTGGATAAGAAGCATGGATTTGCATGTATATGCAGGGTGACCAGACTTGGTCCTCTTTTTCCAGGGCACGTCCTCTATTTCCACCTTCTGTCCAGGAGGAATTTCAAAATGCCCTCCATTTGGAGCCTGACCGAGAAGCATTGATATATATGTATATGCAGGGTGACCAGACGCCCTCTTTTTCCAGAGCCTGTCCTCCATTTCAACCTTCCGTCTGGGAGAGATTCCAAAATGTCCTCCTTTTTGAGCATGACTAAGAAGCATAGATTTATATGAGTGCTTTTAGGTTTGGTTTGGTCGTGTCCTCCATTTTTCTTGAACCTCCTACACTTTGCTGTGCCCTGTCCTCCTCCTTTGCGGTGAAGAGGAGGACAACATCTGGTCACCCCTGATATAGAAAAAACCGACGCCCTCCTCTCCTGGTTGCCACCTGAGGCCAGGAAAAAAGACCCTCAAACCTTGGAGCCCTTCGGCGTGTCAAGAGAGCAACCTCCGACTCGCTTCTGTTTCGCTTTTGAGCGGGTCGGAGAAGGGAGAGAAGGCCAACGGCCGCCCGGTTGCCAGCGCCGCTGTTGCTAGGCAACGTCGCGGTTGCTACGGAAGTGAAGTCATCGGCCTGCTGCGCGCTCCGCCGGCCGCACCTCCTGGTTGGCTGGAAGCCCGGTGGAAGGGGGCGGGCACTTCCGGTTAGGGTGAGGCGGAGCGGCGGTTGTGAGGAAGCCGGTGTCGGAATGGGGAAGAAGGCCGAGGAAGAGCTAGGGTGCGTGGTGGAGATGCCGCCGGGGCCCCCGGAGGAAGGCACGGGTGAGTGATGAAAGGACTGCGACAGTCGCCTAGAAGGAGAAGGCCGAGGCGGAGGCCGGGGTTGGCTTCCTCTTTATTTTCAGAGGTCGCCCTTCAACGTCTCTCTTGACGGCACATTAAGTGCGCATGCGCACACGAGGAAGGGCTTTCTGGCTCGGAAGGGCGGCGCTTGGTGGTTGCTTCGCGGTGGGGACGTACTGAAACAAACGACAGTAGTTGCCCATAGGGAAATATTGAGAATTACTTACTCATAGTGAAATATTGGGAATTACTTGCCCGTAGGGAACCATTGGAAAATACTTGCCCATAGGGAAATATTGGGGAATACTTGCCCATAGAGAATCGTTGGAGAATACTTGCCCATAGGGAAATACGGTATTAGGAATTACTTGCCCCTAGGGATACATTGGACAATACTTGCCTTAAGGAAAACATTGTGGAACATTTGCCCATAGGGAAACATTGGAAAATACGTGCTTATAGGGAAAGATATGAAACATCTCCAATGTTTCCCTGTGGGCAAGTACGGTCCAATTATTCTCTAGGGGCAAATATGGTTTCCCTATGAGCAAGTACTGTACTTTGTTCTAGTAGTCCCTTCACTGTGTGCCTTCAAGTTGTTTCTGATTTAGGGCTCAGAGGGGGTTTGCCATTGCCATCCCCTGAGGAGGCTGAGAGAGTGTGGTTTGCCAAGGTCACCCAGTGGGTTTCCATGGCTGAGCAGAGAATTGAACCCTGGCCTCCAGAGTCATAGTCCAACACTCAAATCACTATCCCACACTGCCTCTCATTATGAAGGTCTTTGGGATTATTTCCTTGGTTCCTTTGACTGTCTTACAGTGACCCTATGAATGAGAGACCAGGACCTGAGCAAATAAAAGCTAAAAACACTCAATGAAAATCCATGCTTTTTAGTCATGCTGAAAAGGGAGGATGTTTTGAAACTTCTCCTGGACAGAAAGTTGAAATGTGGGACAGGAAAAGGAGGGCCTCTGGTCAACCCTGGGTTTGCTCTTGCCTTTCCCTGAGGCTGAGGGAGTGTGACTTGCCCAAGGCCACCCAGTGGGTTTCATGACCGAGCCAGTAATCAAACCTTGGTCTCTAGAGACATAGTCCAACATTCAAACCACTACACCACACTGACTGTCATTCTGTTTTGCTGCTATCAGATTCCCTGCTGGTCTCTTGGTAGTTGCTGACTGCTGTCAAGTTGACTTTAACTTATGGAGACCCATGAATGAGAAACCTCCAAGTCACCCTCTCATCAACAGAGGCTCAGGGCTGTGGCTTCTTTTATTGAGTCTATCCATCTAAAATGTAGTCTTCCTCTTTTATTACTGCCTTCTACTTTATTATCTTTTCTAGTGAGTTATATCTTCTCATGAAGTGGCTAAAGTATGACAGTCTCACTTTAGTCTTCTCGGGGAGATTTCAGGCTCACTAGATTTGCTCTTGTGGTTGTTGTTAACTGCCTTAGAGTCAACCTCAACTCATGGTGACCTTGTGGATGAGACATCTCTAAGACTCCCTGTCCTCCACTGCTCTGCTTAGGTCCTGTAATTTCACACCTGTGACCTCTCTGGTTGAATCTAGCCATCTTCTGTGCATTATTCCTCTCTTTTTACTTCCCTCCACCTTTCCTAGTGTTCTTGTCTTTTCTAGTGAGTCATGCCTTCTCATTA